ATAAACTCCGGCCTACGATAAAAAAAATGCGGTGAGCTTTTTCAGTTAGGCTGATTGGTTGATATGTCTTGTTAGATGGGCAATCTGAATTTTTTTTGGCATGTTCTCTAAATTTTTGTCATCCAAAAATGGTTGAGAATCATATACTTAAGTTGGCGGGTCACATTTTTAGCTTTGTTATTTTATTCTACTGTGAAAACGCCTATCATAAAATCAGAACTTCAAATCTTGACTTGATTTCATATCTTGATAGAAATACGAAATGTTACATGCTAGAGATTGCCTTTGTACAGCTTTTGAAAGGTTTGTACTTAAAGATGGAAGAGCAAGCATGACACACATTCTTTATGTACTTCCTCTTAACTCTTTTTTTATCGGGGCAAACATATTTATGTGCAGATTTTCTTTTTATTCATCAATTGTTTACATGTCTAACACCTAAATCTTTCATGATACATATAAAAAAAAGAGATGTTATCATGTTTTAAGAAAAGCTAAACTCCGTTTTTCTTTTGTTAAGTATTTTCTACAACATTTCTTGACATCTCTTCGTTTTGATTGTAAGACGAGCTGGTTTGATTTCTTTTGGTTATGGATATTCCAAGCATATGTCACACAACTATTTTTATTTACAAAACCTTGCTAGTGTCAATCTTTGTTGATTTGCTTATAATTTATCTTGAAAATAATTAGATGAGTGGCTTTGCCTCAAGCCTTGCATATTTTGTTCGTTGTGGGAAAAGGTCAACAGGGTAATGACCATTTTAAGCTTATATGTTTGCTTGGAGAAATAAAAAAATGAGTGGAGAAGAAATGCGGCACCTGAAATTTGATGTTTTCCTGTGTAAGAGTTCTGAAAACTTCGTCACCTTATTTGCAAAAGTTGGAAACCTTGATGCTCGTGTTTTGTAAAAAAAAAAAAAAAAAATGAAATTTCGCTGTTGTGGTTTTCTTCGCTTTGATGGTTTAAAATTGAGGCTTTTGGAAATTTTATTTTGTGTGACTTATATGTAAAAATCTGTAATTTTTTGTGGTTTATTTGAAAAGTCTGGAACTTTGGGTGGCACTTTGATGCTTTATTCATTTGCGGCTTTTAATCTATAAAATCTGGCCGAGGGATTTTGCTTTGACGATTTCTTGCATGGCAATGTGAATAATCTTGTTAACCTGCGTCTCTTTGAATTGTCCCCAAGATGAATTTTCTAGTGTAGCTGGAGTTGGGAAGTTGAGGTCACTTTAGGAATTAAATGAGTTCAATGTTAAAAGTGGGAATGATTACAGAATTAGGAAGTTGGAACATATGAGTGAGTTGCTTAAATAAAAAAAAATCCATCTACTGGAAATGTGAGGGAGGTTAGAGAGGCTAGCATTACAAAATTATTTGAGAAGAGAAAAAACTCACATATTTATTCTGGAATTGGGGCAATACTGTTAATGAGTGGGAAACAAATTTGGAAACTTATGGAACAATGTCAATCTTGACTCAGATGTGAGTGTGCTCAAAAATCTTAAACCATACAAAAATCTGAGTTTGTTCATATATTCATACAAGGGTATAAGCTATATATAAAATTGTTGAAAATTTTATATAAAACATTAAAATGACATATAAGTTGGAAGTTGGAGGAGGGGCTTTAAACATTCTTTTGGTGGTTACTTTTAAATACGAAATTGATGGTTTGGGTGGTATTGAGGCTGCGTTGGTTAACCCTAACTGGGAAAATTTGGATCGCTCTTTTTTTGATTATTTTGT